TGAACATTGTTTAGCGCCTACGCATGTATTCATTCTGCTAGCTTCATTATTAACTGCTTAATCTATTCGCTGACTCACCCATTTTCCTATATATATATATATGTGTACATTTGCACCCACTCACAACAACAACTACAACAACTACTACTACTACTGCTACTGCTACAATCGTAGTTCGCTTGCTCATTCATTTTGCCTCTCCGCTGTCTGGTCCGAATTATCTGCTAAATAAACTGTAGTAGCTGCTTCTTTTTGCCTTCTGATTTCAAACATCGTTGAAGATTATACGATAACAGTTCGAGGGTGATTAATTAACGAAGCACAGCCACTACAAGTGGACATACGTGAAATGCAAACGGAATTGTCTTCTGTCCTTGATGTGTGATTTCAACTTGATGGATTGTGTTCAAACCATGGCAGGTGTCTCCGAGTTCATTGTGATAGTTACTGGTACCACAAATTCATCTAGTGTCCAAACTAAATCAATCTACATTCACCCCAATAGTATGGTTTCAGGAGGGGTCATCCTTGTATAACCAACCTGTTGACTGAGGTGAACAGATGGACAACCATCCTTGATCGCAAGGGGAAGGTTGACGTCATTGATCTTGACTTCTCAAAAGCTTTTGATATGGTCAACCATATACGTCTTATCAATAAGCCCAAACGATTGGGTATCAAACCACTTTTAGTTGATTGGCGCTCACTTCATATCTAAAAAATCGACATTTAAAGATCAGGGTTAACTTCACTTTCTCCCAGGCTATGGAATGTCCTAGTGGGGTCTCCCAAGTTTCAATGCTGGGATCTCTTCTTTTCTTGATTTATATAAACGATCTGCCACAACAGGTATTGTCTGACTTATTATTTTTCGCTGGTGATGTGAAACTCTGCAGATAAATATGTAACCAAGAGGAGGAATCGGCAGTTCAGGAGGATCCGACTTGACTTCAAAATTGAACAGATGACAACGGACTTACCTTTAACACTTAGAAGTGTAAAATAATGCATCTGAGACATGTTGCAGACTACAGTTACAACTTAGGAAACTCCTCTTAGGAGTGCCGGTACCTTACAATTTGAAGTCTTACGCTAAATGTGACAAAAATGCCTTTCGAGCAAACCTTGCACTGCTGTATATTACATTTCAACAGTATTACTGATCCCCATTTACAGTATGGACATATAGTATTTACTCCCTCTCTCCAAAAAGATAAGGACAATCTGGAACGTATCCACCGGCGAGCCACGAAATCAGTTCGGGGACTTAAATGCAAGCCCAATAAAGAATGTGTAGGGCCATCCTCAAGCACCTCCAATCACTAAACCTTTACCAATTAGAGTACAGTGGTTTTAAAGGTGACCTTCTAATGGCTTACAGTATCCTTAACTCATCTGGACATCCCCTTAAATACTTACTTAGGTTTAGCTCCAATGAAAACCTAAGGGGGAACACCGAGAAACTGGAGACACAACACAGCAGGATGGACTATAAACACTTCTACTCCTTAAAAGTTGTGGAATGCTAGAATTCTCTGCCGTCTGGGCTAGCCCAAGCAACTTCCCAGGAAAACTTTAAGAGGAAACTTGACATATTCTTAAGGACTAAAGATCCATTGATACTAGAGACGGAAGCTCGTTAAGCAAAAGCTTCTTCTATTCCGTCCACGACCATTTTGAAACCATTTTTAATATCTTAACCAGGTTGCGATTGGTCAGCCATTACTGTTATTATCTGCCATGACCAACTGAAACATTCACAGTTTTTTATTTATATGTAATATGAGCCAACGAATTCTGTGTAAACAGTACGTTTGCACGTCAGTATTGTAGTATTCTGGTGCTAACTAATGACTTTCCTCATCACGATATCCAAACAGCATTTTTGCTATTCCTAACTTATCAAAAACCGGGTTCTTATAGTTAGTAATTGTAGTAGATTTAGTGAAATTCCGGGCTAATTATTTAATTTTTCTGGTGAGCCTTGATTCACTTGTGATTACCAGTTCCACAACCTTCAGTAACTCCTCCCCCGAAGCACTGAAAACACGTATTGTTTGTTCGTTACTTTATCTCATACGGTTTGTTGTAAATTGATCTCTATCTCCACAACTACGAATTTCACTACCGTGTCTGCTACTTTTTTGCAATGGTCGGACTTGCCTGTCGTAATGACTTAGCGGAACAAGGTTATCTGGAACACGTTACTTTGGCACTTACAGTGCTAGGCGGGTTGGTTGTGTAACGGCAAGACTAAAGCAGCGACCTGAGTCCTGAGTTAAAAGTTGCACTGCCGACTGTAGAGAGGTTCGATAGCAGTAAGCTGTCTCCCTCAGCAACCAACATCAGAGGCATTGCTGCCTTCTCACAACGAAAGGAATGGGTTACAAAAGGTTGGCCATCACCCTGCCCCATGAATCTCCATCTTCGGTGGTAGATCGATTTCAAGCGCGAATCCAACGCAACGGAATTCCTCATCACAAAGCTCAGGGTGATCCGCCTCAATCAGATGCTCTTAAAGCTCTGAGATCACTCTTCAACCTCGCTACAACTATCACCAATATTGACTTTCTTTCCAGTTTTCTCAAAAAGAAATATCCTTATTCATTTCGAGCAGCCGAGAAGTTACGAACGCCCTCATATCCCGAAAAGCACCTGAGATAATGTTTTTACAGTAGAACACCTTCCTCAACTCTTGATAACCCTTCCATCCAGACTACTAGCACTTCTCCACGCGCCATAAGTTCATGCAGTCTGAGTCTATGAAATGTTGTTCCTGGTCTTCTGAAATCACGTTCTAAACTATATATTGCAGACTTTAACGTCTAAATGTTGCGTCAGAGAGAACAATAAGCTGCCCTAGTTAAAATTTTACAATCTAATATCAACAATGTATGCTGCGTCTCCAACATGGTGATACATGGTCTAAATACAGTCGTCAATTTGAATTCATACAGTCAATATGAAGAAATGAGATTTAATTCTTATGTATCTGTTGGCCAAGCAACCACTTCCAGAGGACTGTCTGTGGTAGGTATAGGGTTAGGTTAAAATGTATATCATGGTCTGTTAGAATGGTTTCCGATATACGATTGCTTGTTGACTTATCGACAAAACAGGACAGTATCAGCTCGAAAAGATACACACACACAGACAATTATCTCCTCGTTGTGTCTACATACACTCTCACTGATTGCATCATCAGTCACAAGATGACGTGTTAGTGTCATTGAATTACGATCAAAATATGCTGTACTTGCCAACACATCAAGAACAGAATTTGTGAATGCTATGCCTTTAGCAAATGGTGCAGTTAATGAAGCCGCGATCTGTAATCCACCTGAATGATCTGGATCTAAGTAGTGTATGTTATTGTCTGTCATTAATTCTGTAATCAATGGAATCTCTGAACCGCTCCGACGTTTATGAACATTATGTACAAATGCTTTATGACGATGATAAGGAGAAAATTGCATTGCTCTAATATTCAATGTGCACAAGATCACTTCCTTATCCAACATATATGGATCGTCAACCTTCACTGTACCTCTTGATCCTAATATGACGCAAACTGATGAATATTGTATGCGTGCAGCTCGTAGATCAGCTCTAGATAACGCACTACCGGCAAGTGTGTAAACTTTTGGGAAATTCGCTATATTCGACCACTCTCTTTGTAGAAATTTTATATCACCTAGAAACAGAATAGTTCTTAATTGATTAGGATGGAAATTGCTCGCTCTTAATGGCATAACAAATGAATGCAGACCTAGCAGTGGAGCATCTGGTTCAGCTAGAATGCACACTAGAATGTGATTGTATAGATCATGTGATTGTTTATGAGATGAATTTGTGGTAATTAGATTATCTTCAAATCCTTGCCGATCACAATAATAATACATACCTAGTATAAGAAAGACAGGAAGAAATTAACACAAAGGAGAATGTTAGAAAATATTCATATCAGTCATTATTTATTGAACCAGATATTATCATCCATACTGAATACTCTGATAATTAAAAGTAACAGTTGATCATGTGTAGAAGTGAAATTCCAAAAAATACATTACTTCCCATTCTCTGATTAATAGATGTGTACATTTTAACATATAGATGTTGTTATTCAGTCTTTAACTCTTAGTTTACTCTCCAAGGACTCATCAGTTACGTACCAGGCGAACGAGTTACTGGATTTCTCTCTTTTATTCACTAGGATTACTGGTTGAAACAAAAGTGGTACGCTTTGCACCTGATGAATTTCAATACATAACTAACTGGTCATCCTCTGGTGATTTGTGGAATCCCTATGCAAATACCTCAACATTTTACTTTCAATCCTCTAATCCTTTTCTAATTACCAATGGGAGTGAAATTGAGAACACGGATTTTGACTGTGATTGGGATTTGTTAGTTGAGTTCCATGTTGATTGTTGTGCTAAGAAGAGACGCATCTTAACAATCGACCGACTGTTTCAATTCCTTGCAAACACTTGTCATCATGGTTTGGTATTGTTCTACTGCGGTTACCATGGCACTCAATCATTGAGATAAAAATTATGAATATTCAGCACGTGAAATTTTGAAACCTATTCGAACGTGAGAAAGTGATTCAATTTAATAGGACTGAAACGACCTGAATAAAATGCATGAGGCAATAGAATTGATCTCGTATGATAGCGACTATTATAATTTTTTTGCAATTCCATGAGAATGTACATTGACGTCACATTGTCTGGGGAACGACTAGTCATATGCAGATTTTAATTAGTCAAACCAGTATGTAAATTAAGAGTTCTAACCGATCATGTTACACAACAACATTGTTTTGCTTGACAGAATTAATAAAGTTATGAGTTCCATTTCAAATAATACATTCTAATGCAAGAGAATCTTTTGAAGTTTTCGTGAACTGCCGACAAGCAAAGAAGTTATCATTATTCTTCATTTCATTAAACAACTGTTGAAAATCTAGCATAAGGGGGGGGGGAAAAGAACAATGATCACACAAAACCAGTGTTTTTATTTTTTTTTAAAAAAGAATTATCAACTTTTGATGTATATATTTATCTGCAAAACAACAAATCCTTGAAAGATCATTTTGAAGTTACTTTGATAAGTTTATCTATCAATAAGATTGTAAGGTGACAAAAGAACTACAGAAATTCACAACCATATTTATTTAAAAACGTTATCTACAATTTTAGCTCATAGATCGATACTCGTTAATTGTTCATGAATAACATTGTTTCACAGGGGGTCTTTGTAGATTGTGTTCAGAAAAACGAGATTGTTGTATTGTATGCCGACTTTTCCTATTTAAAATAAACATCATCATGATTATAGTCAAGCAGATTATTATCATATGATATGAGAAGGTGTTATTCGCGTGTATAATGGATATTACGTCATTCTGATCCCGAACAATTAACCAACTCCATGGTGAATAAAGGTATAATCCAATCTAATTAACAAGGAACAAATGCAAATTGTGTATCATTATTAGAATTAAGTGAATACAAGCAGATACCGAAAGCTGAAAAGGGTTATTTTGAACCAAAAAAAGAGTGGTACGAAGTCATGAAATATGTCACTTTACCTATATATTCAAATGAGATCTCAATACAGTTGTTACTTGTTAGCTGAAGTTTCTGTGATCACTTCGATACACATTTTTAATCTAATCACTGCCATAGTATTTCTACTGAATTACTCATCTCCAAAATCATTACAATATGATCACCATTATTACCTATTGTTATAACTTGTGCCCTGTGTCCTATAAGATGATGATACCGCCGATTAGAGAACAGTGAATTTTCGATCGGACCAATCATGCACAAAATCTGTACGGACAGACTAGAGTCCTCATCAGTCCTGCTTCCCGTCAATCCCTGCCTGTTAAGTCCACAACACCATTCTCAGACTCCGCGATATGAATCATTTATTTCAAACATACCGGGTTTACATACAAACCAAACAGATTACATCGCACCATAAAATGGGAAACAACATTTGTACAAGATTTACCCAGACGTGGCTGTGAATGTGGGAGACTGTAATTAATAAACTGGGAATAACTCAAGAATGGTAAATCATATGAGAACAGTTCATAGATCAAAATAAAGCTCATGATAAGAGGAACACGAATATGAATAGTTTAGTTGCTTAACAATTATACGATAAAAAGTATCTGTATAGTAATATTCAAGAAATAGATTCCGACAGTTACCATTCATTATTCTCATTCGGATATAACGCTTATTGTTTATACTTTGTAAAGAGTTGATTTGTTGGAATAAATAAAGCTCGCTAGAATATATGGGTTTCATGTTCCTCTGTCGTTAACCAAGTATATTGCTACACAGCAATAAAAAACCATCAGTGTTTCCTGTAATCATGAAATGATAGGTCATTGGGATTCAGACATATCTTGTCCCCGTGCTCACATACCAACTAAAGTCCAATTGGTAGATGAGAGACGGTAAACAAGACGTGCTATTCAATGAAGTCTGTTACACACTTTCTCAAGCCCTTAGCTTATAATTAATTCTCTTCTAGTTCAGAAGAATATATTTTTGTCTATTCATATTGCGTATACACTTTATTTAGTTTGTCTATTTCAGCTTCTTGCCAATTCTTAGCCTTTTTATACTAGGTATACCTATAGGAAGAGTGTGTACATGTATTTGAATCAAACCGCTGAACGTAACGGTAAACTAGGCGTTTTCTAACATTTATTTGATATGTTGCACGAGAGCTGATTTTTAGATCACTCCCTCAATTCACTTTATTCTGTAGTTTTGTTTTTTCTACTGGATTGTGTATCTCTGATCCAAGTAGCTTTTCAGAACTTGAATACTGATATTATACAACATATGTTCTAACGGTGAGTTAAGTAAGAGGGTTAATCATTTTCTAATCATTGAATTAATCTGTCAGAATAGTCTGTCTAATACACTTAAAATTTTTTACAATATAACTTTTTGTTATTATTCAAATATTTGGGTGCACACACAGCTTAAAGACAATATGTTTCCGGTATTCTGAGAAGTTCCCAAACCCATTCATTAATCGCTAATGGATTTTATCCACATTCAACATTATTTAACATATGATAGTATGCAATTCAGCTACGTAGTAGTAGAACATTAGGAGCCTTGAACTTAGTGACATTTAGAACTTGAATTCAAGTTCTGTTATTGTTGTTCTCAATGAACGATTCAGACTAAGTGAGCACACAAATGTTATGTGGTGTGTTAAGGTGATTCTTATTTACTGATAAATACATAGATTTGTCAGATAATAATCCATAAGGACTTCAGATAATTATTTGGTGAACACTCATCAATAAGTACCATAAAAGAAACATTCAATGTTATGTATTGCACAACCTATTTGCATTTGTCGTTACTTTAAATATATCAGAGCAATTTACTTTATGTACTTTGAATGATCAAGAACGTTAAATTATTTCGAATCACGACAGGGATCTTGTACATAATTTCCTCAGCTGAAAGATTAGTTTCGAGTGAATGTGTTTTGAAAATAAAGTTCATATCAATCTCATGCAACTGATCTCGTTAATTATTCTGGAAACAACAAGATTAACATAAACTGCAGAATAATACAACTTCATAAGTTCGTCGCAAATTTCTTATGATATATGACAATGAAATTACTTGATTGTTTATATTCAATAGCTGAATTCTTGAGTCAATTAAACTTAGACCACTATGGAAAACCTGGAAGCACTGGAAGGAAATTTTGTCCTTGTATGGAACTCAGTGAAGACAATGATGGATGTGTCGCCCAATTTCGTGGATTAATTGAAGTTACACATTAACACCGTTGGATGCCGGTCAGCTCAGTGGTTTAGAAGTTGAGCGCTCGCGCACGAGACCAATAAGTCCTTGGTTCGAATCTCGCGGGGTGGGATCGTGGATGCGCACTGCTGAGGTGTCCCACAATAGAACGAAACGACTGTTCAGTGCTTCCAGGTTTTCTATAGTGGTCTAGCTCCAATTAACTCATGATCTTAATTAATTATATCCACAAAACTCCTTCTGAAATTTCGTATATGCATATAAATATTACTGTATATTAGAGTAAAGCCTAATGAGGATCTAATCGAAAACAATATTGTACGTTTATATATGTTGTTCTAAATTACATTTTAAAGTGAACAAACTGTAGAACTCACATGACAAAGCCACGAACCAATTAATATGAAACAAAAATTATGCATCAAACTGAAGATTGGATTAGAATTGGAAATAATCTGTGCAATATGTGATATAATTGTAAATAATATTGTATGAACCAAAATAATATGCACATGTGTATCGAATGGAGCTCGTTTGTGTAAATGAAACATCAGTGAAAAGTATACAGCACATCCCATCATAAGGTAAAATAAATCACAAATCTGCCTAAAATGTAATGGTAAATAAATAATATTTTAATCAGTAGATACTATCCAAAAAAGCACAAAATGCACTTATAGGATGGGAATCTCATGGACCAAGGATCATCAAAGCCTCCTTCAAAACAAAGAAAGAGGACATTTCAATGAACATCATCCAATGCTATGCGCCTACCAACCACTACAATGAAGACGCTAAAGATCAATTCTACGATAGGCTGCAGTCAATCGTCGAGAAATGCCCAACGAAAGACCTGACCATTCTGGTGGGAGATTTGAATTTCAATGTTGGAATGGACAACACTGGATATGAAGACATCATGGAATGACATGGACTTGGAGAAAGGAACGAAAATGGTGAGAGATTTGCAAACCTATGTGCCTTCAATAAACTGGTCATAGGCGGCACTATATTCCCACATAAATACATTCACAAAACAACATAGACTTCACCAGACCACACAACGCGAAACTAAATCGACCATATCTGCATCAACAATAAGTTCAGGAGGACGATGGAGGATATGAGAACGGAGAGAGGAGCTGATATAGCATCAGATCATCACTTGCTGGTCGCCAAGACGAAATTGAAACTCAAGAAGCACTGGACAACGGGGCAGGCAATATCACAAACGTTTAATACGGCTTTTCTTCGGGATACTGACAAACTTAACGAATTCAAGATAGCCCTCAGCAATAAGTTCCAGGCCTTTCATGATTTACTCAATGGAGAGGGAATGTGTGGAAGATTTGGCAATGACGGCGGAAAAGGCCGTGAGAGAAGGAAACATGAGACAACTGTATGATACAACAAAGAAGCTGGCTGGAAATTATCGTAAACCAGAACGACCAGTGAAAAGCAAGGAAGGAAAAGTAATCACCAACATTGGAGAACAGAGAAAAAGGTGGGTAGAACACTTCAAAGAACTTTCGAATCGACCAGTCCCACTGAACACACCCAATATTGAAGCGATATCCACGAACCTTCCAGTCGATGTTGGCCCACCAACAATTGAAGAGATCAGAACGGCCATCAGACAAATCAAGAGTGGCAAAGCAGCAGCACCAGACAACACTCCAGCAGAGGCGCTGAAAGCAGACGTATCAGTAACTGCAAGCATACTCCATATTCTCTTCAATAAGATTTGGGATGAGGAACAAGTACCAAGAGACTGGAAAGAAGGACTTCTGGTCAAGATACCAAAGACAGGCGATCTCAGCAACTGTGAGAACTACAGGGGCATCACTCTTCTCTCAACACCATGAAAAGTCTTCAACAGGGTATTGTGAAACAGAATGAAAGACTCTACAGACGCCCAACATCGAGATCAACATGTTAGATTTCGTAAGGACAAATCATGTACCGACTAAAACCCAACACCACGGATCACTGTGGAACAATCAATTGAATGGAATTCATCACTCTACATCAACTTCATTGACTACGAGAAAGCATTTGATAGCGTGGATAGGACAACACCATAGAAGCTTCTTCGACACTACTGCGTGCCTCAGGAGATAGTCAATATCATACAGAATTCCTATGATGGATTACACTGCAAAATCGTGCATGGAGGACAGTTGATAAACTCGTTCGAAGTAAAAATCGGTGTCAGGCAAGGTTGCTTACTCTCACCCTTTCTCTTTCTCCTGGTGATCGACTGGATCATGAAGACGTCAACATTTGAAGGGAAGCACGGGATGCAGTGGACAGCCAGGATGCAGCTGGACGATCTCGACTTCGCAGATGATCTGGCTCTTCTATCCCAAATGCAACAACAAATGCAGGAGAAGAAGACCAGTGTAGTAGCAGCCTCAGCAGCAGTAGGTCTCAATATACACAATGGGAAAAGCAGGTTTCTCCGATACAACACAGCATGCACCAATCCAATCACAATTGACGGAGAAGATATGGAAGATGTAAATTTCTTTACATATTTGGCCAGCATCATCGATGAACAGGGTTTATCTGATGCAGGTATGAAGGCGCGGATCGGCAAAGCAAGAGCAGCATATTTACAACTAAGGAACATCTGGAACTCAAAACAACTGTCAATCAACACCAAGGTCAGAATTTTCAATACAAATGTCAAGACAGTTCTACTGTACGGGGTGGAAACTTGGAGAACTACGAAAGCCATCATCCAGAAGATGCAAGTGTCTATTAACAGTTGTCTAGGCAAAATACTTCGGATCCGTTGACCAGACACTATTACCAACAACCAACTGTGGGAAAGAACAAACCAGATCCCAGCGGAGGAAGAAATCAGAAAGAAGCGCTGGAAGTGGATAGGACACAATTGAGGAAAGCACCCAACTGCGTCACACCGGGAGGAGAAAAAAAAGAGAAAAAAAAAAAAAAAAAAAGGGGTGCGCTGAAGGAAAAATTTTTTGGGAAAACCAAAAAAGAAATAGTCTGGGAGGGGCCCAAAAGAGCACAAGTGACAATTTAAAAGATTCGAATATTAAAGGAGAAGGATTTCTCCCCTCTTTTTTGTACAAAAAAGCAACCCCCTCACAATCAAAAAAAACGAAACACACTGACCTATAGTCATACGAGGATAAAGGAGGGGAGCAAGGGCTCATAAAAATACAAACAATAATAAGAATTACAAGCACTTTATGAAGAAAAAAAGAAGAAACATTGCGGCCACTCTGGGGAAAACCAACTCCAGCTGAAGAAGAAATTAGGAAAAGACGATGGAAAGGATAGGACATACATTACGCAAATCGTCAAACTGCATCACGAGGCAAGCCCTAACTTGGAATCCTGAAGGGAAGCAAAAAAGGAGCAAAAATCGAATAAAAAAAAGAGATAAGGGAAGACCGAGGTGGGAATGTGGGCTCCTCGGGAAGGAAAATATTTGTATTGCATTCAATATATTTGAGGTTCTTATTCAAAAATATGGATTTTCATCCTTATTATTATACCGTTTAAAAACCAGTAAATATATTTTAAATAAAACCACAAAAAAACACAGGGGAGAGGTGAGAAAAAGAAAAAATGGCTTTCTTTTTTACCTCTTTTTGTTTTAATATTTTTAAAATTTAATAAGATATACAATGATTTATTTTATTTATATGAATTAATTAAAAAAGTTAAACACAAATCAAAATTATTATCCAAAATAAAATTTTCCAAAATAACCTTAAATAAAATGTTTTTATCTTAAAGTTAATTTTCTTTACCTTTAAAATCATTTCAATACTGAACGAAAATTCAAATCCCTTTTAATATATAATTAAGAATTTCTCTATAATTTATACTGTTATGTCACTGAGATGTGTGAGCGACTGATCAATTTCATTTGATAACTTCACCAATCAGAATTTTGATTATAAATATTCTACCGTGAGTATGCTGTCTCGTCTATAGACTATCAATATGGACCTCGATCAATGGTACCATTTGACCGACAAGATTAACCTTGAGTTAACTTAAGATTTACTTTCATTGGTTCACCGAAATGCAATATCTTCTTGTAGACTGATATTATTATATCGATGATTGAAATTCCTGATAATATGAAATCACGTGGTATACTCCGAAGAAAGACTAGTTCACACATTTTTTTAAGATGTGTGCTGTGTTGTGTATAGTTTCTCTAAAATCATGAGTATTTTTCTATCCTAAGAACAATGTTTGAACTTTAAACAAATTCTTTATTCTACGTTTGATCATTGTGTTACAATAAAATTCACTCTGAAAATAGGTATATGGTTATATTTACTCCTGGTACATAACGTATGCATAGAATTAGGCATAACACTAAAGTGAAAATGGATGGTTGATCAAGGCAACGTGCCTGGGGAAGCTCTGATAGCTCGAATAATACCAAATCTGTTTCTGCCTGTGCTCCATGCCAAGTGACTCCTGCTGATCTTGAAGACATCATTAAATCAAAATATGTTGTCGATTTTACTGCTAAAGAAGTTTCTAGGCGACTAATCTCTGGAAAAAACAGCATTTTCTATAATGTACCTGATAAAATCACGCTCAAACCAGTGGGATATTCGATACTGAGGTCAGTTAACTTTCAGGATAGTCCATGCTAATGTATTCACCTTAGTAAAACCGTCAGCAGTTCTCGTGCCCTATCTTGCTTAGGTTCAATTCACATTTAGCAGCTGAACTACTGAAGGAATCCGAACGGTTAATCTGTGCACTTTATAAGTCCAGGAATCCCCGTTTAGTCACAGATAAGACCACCAATCAAAGACTAACACACACTACATCTCAGACGAAAATAATGATGTACAAACTATAACAGATTCAGTTGGCTCATCGACAAGCCCCACTTGTGTGACCAACATATCGTTTGTCAGCCAATACTCTAAATTATTAATGAAGAATGCTAACTTGCCACAGACTTCACATAACCTGTTGCAACCTCAGATAACCAATGTATACCAAATGTCGACACAGATTTTATGCTTTTGATTCGATATCTTTCATCAGAACAGAAGAAGCGCATACTCAAACATCCAATCCTAACACAAAGCTTTTCGAAACACAAGATTGATACATCTAAATCATGTGAGAAGGAATTAAATATATAAGTGTCTGGCTCAAAAACCGGTACCAAAAGTATTGTAGAGGCTCAACCAAACAAATATAGACTACAAAACACCAGGTTTGTGGTTTCTAGTCATACAGGTGGTTATATGGGCACACAGACACGAACTGGTCGATCCACCATTTTGTCATCTCAAACTAAATCCACAAACAATAGGCGAATTGTCAAAATTTCACTTTCTAAATCAATGGAACATACCTTGCTCAACTGATACACAAGACTCCCACCACAACCTTAATGTAAGCAAACCTGTTACTGGACAAACTGCAAGGAACCAAGATGTCGCACGATTGAACCAAAAACTTTTGTATACTAAACCTACAAGAAACAACTATCTTCATCAATTTCCCAATGAGCAAGATAGACTGTTAGATTACTCACCATTTACTCAACCTCAACGAGCAGATGACTTTCTTAACTGTCCACCATATCGAT